GCCACAGAGACGGGAGAGAAGACGACCCCCAGGAAGGGCCTGTCTTCATCCATTTTCTGTTGCTTATAAGAGAATACCTGAAAGTGGGTAATTTATTTACAAAGGAATTGTTTCTTACAGTTATGGAGAATGAGCAGTCCAAGGCTGAGGAGCTGCATTTGGTAAGGGCCCACTTGCTGGTGGGGGCTCTTTGCCTGAGCAGACACAGGGCATCACATGGTGAGGGAGCTGAATGTTCCAGCTCAGGTCTCTCTTCTTCTTCTTAGAAAGCCATCATTCCTGCTCCCATAATAACCCATTAATTCATTAATCCATGAATGGATTAATTTATTCATGAGGGCAGAGCTTCCATGACCTAATCAGCTCTTAAAGGCCCAGCTCTCAATACCGCCACACTGGAGGTTGCATTTAACCAGGAGTTTTGGAAGATACAAATGTTGAAACCATAGAGGAGCTCATGTATCAGTCCCTGCAAGGTGGCTCCCCAGGGCTGGTACCATTTGGAATTCCTGCAAGGCAGCAAGTCCCCCAATCTCATGTGATGCCAGGGTTGCCCTGCCCTGCGGTGCTGAGCAAGACTAGAGGTACAGACCTGAGATGCGGGCAAGGCTGGGGGTGGGTGAAGTCTTCCTGTGATGGTATATGTGGCTACCTGTGCCCCGGTTTGTCCTCCCTTCCTCTTTGAGCTGGCCAAAGATGCAGTGACCTTCAGGGTCTCTCCAAACAGTGGGCTGCTGAAGGTCTGGCCTACCAATGCACCCCCCAACCTCCATCACCTTGTAGGTATGCCTCACTGCCAGTTACAGACCCTCCCAGAGTCCCCTGCACTGCCCACAGAGCCTGGACCCCCTGCCCAGGGCCCTTCCTAACCTGCTACTTATAGGAGCAATGAGTCCACGTTGGTGGTACTAGCAGTGTTTGGCAAGGCCTGCACCCTGTGGTTCTGGGGCCAAGGTTCTTATGATGACAAGAGATACCTGTCCCCTCACCAGCTCTGAGGCTCTGCCCCACTTTTCAGTCCCGGCCCGCAGCTGTGAAATAGACATGGCCCAGGGTGGAGGAACAGATCTGCTGGGCAGGGGGCTGTACGAGGTCCCAGACTAGGGGGTGAGGTGGAAAGTGGAGAGCAGATAATCTGGCACCTCAGGTCTCCAGCTACTCTAGAACACCCCTGGGGTGGAGGAGGCTCTTTTCCAAAAGGGCAATATTTGATACAATTTAATATCAAAAGGAGAAGAAAAACTCCTGGAAAAATAGAACCAGTAAAACACTTCCTTAATCTGATCATGGCCATATACAACACAACGAACTTAGAAAAAACGTCATGCAGTGTTGAAATGGCGAGCGATTTCCCTTAAAATCAAAGTCAAGACAAGAATGCCTACACATACCACTTCTTTTCCATGTTGTACAGGAGGAACTAGCTAGCACAGCAAGGCAAGACAAACATTGAAAAGGAAGAGACACTATTTATTACACCTCTAATCTCAGCACTTCAGGATGCTGAGGCAGGAGGACCACTTGAGCCCAGGAAATCGAGGCTGCAGTGAGCTATGATTGCACCACTGCATTTTGACTTGAGAGAGCAAGGCCCTGTCTCTAAAAACAAATAAACAAAAACACATTAAATGATGTATGTACTTATGTATTTATTATTCGTCAATTAAAAAGTTTAAAAGATTACTGTAAAACTATCAGGTGAAATAAAACTTACGGTAAAAAGCATTAATAGAGATGGGGAAATTGTATTTAATAATAAAAGAAAAGGGTCAAGCAATTCATTCCTTCCTGGGTGGTAACTTATTCTGATTTTACTTCTACATTATGGTTTTAATTCAGCCACTATAGGGTTCATTTATAGGATTTATGGGTGTCATTTTCCAAGTTTGTGTCTTAGGAGTTATGTGACTTTATCTCTGAACATTTTAAACAAAGTCTTTTCAGAAAGAATGCTATCGCCACTAGTTGACTGATGAACTCCAGTGTATTCCTTCCATTTTTATGCCATTTTATTTCTTCACGTGCTCAGCAATTTTTACTTAAAAGTTCATTTTCACTGAGATTCATCTTCCGTAGAAAGCCCTGTAAGTCTTGAGTTACTGTGGCAACCTTCCTGTGGATTGCTTTCATGTTTGTTTCTTCCAAGACCCTAAGGATTCACAAGTGTTTAGGTTTGTTTCTGGGCTTGGGCCTTGCATTCACGGGGGGCTGAGTTTTCCCGGGGGCCTTGCCCTGTACGAGCTGCTTCACACTCAACCCGTGCACCCCCTCAATACGAGCTCAAAGCCTTTGGAAAACTGTGAGCAGCATCCCACGTCAAGGGTGGGGGATGGAAGAGGACAGGAGGCTGCTGCCACGTTTGGGCCGATGCTTGAGCAGCCATAAAAACACACAAACAGCTGAGAGAAGCAGGTGAGAATTCCACAAAGGCCAGCAGTCAGTGACCAGGAAACAAGAGCTCCAGAATTCACAGGCATCTGTGGATACCATCAGAGAGAGGTCAGTAAACCTGCGAGATTACTGACCTCTCTCTTTCTCTCTGCACAGGGAAGCCCCTGCTGACGTGTCTATCAGAAAAATATCACATGTGTGAGAAGGAGAATTTATTAACCATCTATAATTTCATACAATTTTGGCCCTTAGGCATTACACCAAGACACCTGTGTGATAAGAATGATGTGTGAGAACAATAAAAGGACTGTTCTAGTCTAGCACTGTGTGACAGAACTATAACGTGAGACACAGACGCAAGTCATGTATAGTTTTAATATTTTTGGTAATCACATTTCAAAACATTTTTAAGAACAGGTGCGATTCATATATACCATGGAATACTATGCAGCCACAAAAAAAGAATGAGTTCACGTCCTTTGCAGAGACATGGATGAAGATGGAAACCATCACCCTCAGCAAACTAACGCAGGAACAGAAAACCAAACGCCACATGTTCTCACTCAGAAGTGGGAGTTGAACAATGAGAACACATGGACACAGGGAGGGGAGCATCACACACTGGGGCCTGTCAGGGGGCAGGAGGCTAGAGGAGGGAGAACATCAGGACAAACACCTAATGCATGCGGGACTTAAAACCTAGATGATGGGTTGATAGGCGCCACAAACCACCATGGCTCATGTCGACCGGTGCAACAAACCTGCAGGCCCATCACATGTACCCCAGAACTTAAAGTAAAATTAAAATAAATAAATAAGAACAGGTGCAATTAATTTAATGTTTTATTCTCTCAACAGATCCAAAATACTGCCATTTTTATATGTGATCTCTATAAAAAATACTAATGAGTTATTTTATGTTTTATTTTGTAGTAAGCCTTTGAAATCCAGTGATTTTTTTTCACAGTTACAGCAAATCTCAAATCCAACTAGCCACATTTTAAACCCTCGATACCTACATCTGGTTAGGGGCTGCTGTATGGGACAGCATGGGTCTGGTCTATTAAAGTACACACTGCCAGACTCTAAGTAATATTAGCCATTGCTTCAGTAAGCAACCAGGTAGGTCCTGTCTGGGACTGAGACGCCCTGGCCACCTAAGAAAAATGGAAAGCGTGTAGAAGGGCAGCTGGTCTTGCTGGCAGCCGCGGCCCGTACAGCCGGCTCCTGCACACCCATACTGCCCCATCAGCCTTCTGTCCTGACCCCTCTCTTCCTCCTGTTTCCTGTCGCATTGGCTGATTCCCAGCAACGTAACTTGAGGTGTTTACATATGGCTAATCTGTTGGCATCACAGCTCACAGGCAGGCCTCTGCCAGAAAAAGCTACAGAGACTATTCAAGCATCCCGTGGTCCTATGAGCAGATACTTTGTGAGATCTCTTTATGTGACCTTCAAACCCCACTTCAGAAACCCAGTTTCTGAATCCTAGGAAACCAAGTTAAGAACAGTGGGCACCAGCTTGGTATCCCAAAGCTTGGGAGCGCAGGCCCAAAGCACTGTGCTGGGCTAGAGCACTGGGAACGCTGGAGGCTGCGCCCAGCTTCACTGGACTCCACCCCGCCCGGGAGATCCATGAGAACTGACATGCTTATCTGTCTTCCTCCCTCCGAGGCTACGAGGAGTCAAACCAGAACGATTCTCTGCAAGCCCATGATCTTCCAGTAAACTAGCCAAGAGTGAAGGAGGTAAGACAGGCCCCAAGTCCTCTCCCAGGGAGACAGGAGGTGGTGCTGAGGGTCTCACCCAAGGACTTCACAGTCAGGTTGAGGAGTCCTGGGCCCTGCCTGGCAGAGCCCCCATGCCAGCAGGGAAGGGCAGAATCCCCTGCAGGGCAGTTGGGAGGTAAACGGCAGTATGGGGCCTTATTCTCAGCGTAGTGGAGGCCAGAGGTCAGCTAGGGTGGAGCCATCAGGGAAGGTCTCCCCAGGGATGTGGACTGATTTGGGTAATTCCCAAGGCCATGCTTATTTGCAGCATCGGCAGAAAGATGGTGAGAAAGCCCTGTGCAATGGGACAAGTGGGAGGAGTTTACGTCCCATGCCTGCCCCGACTCATGCGTGAAATGGAGCTTTGAAATCTGTCCTCAGCCTGTGCTTTGGGTGGAAACCCACTGTGCGAGAGGTTGTGTGGGGACGGGTGGCGTGGAGGCACAGTCCTGCTCACCTCTGGCCCTCATAGACCTTGCCCTCCCCGCTCCTCTGCCCCCTTCCAGAGAGCTCCTCCCTGTCCCTGAGGGATTAGCCAAAGACATTAAGGAGTCTTTCTAACCCACCTCCCCCAGGCCAGGGCCTCTGCATTCTCCAGACATGGCCAGCTTTGACCCAGCCATCTCAAGACCAACATTGTACCTTTATTGGAATGAATCACAGCAGAGCTCCCACAGAAGAGGGGCTTTTTTTTTTTTTTTTTTTTTTTTTTATGTCAAGGGCTGGCCGGGAGCAGGACTAACCCTGCCTCCCTGACGAAACTGGGCCTGGAATTTGTGGCCTGGAATCCACAAGCCTGTGCTTGGCCACTCCACCCCAACCCAAGATGGTCTGGGGGCCTGGCCCTCAGGGAGCCTGGCTGTCTGCTTCCCCTTCATTGATTCGCCCCAAGGCAGTGCTGGAGACAGGGTATGGGTCCAGTTTCAGGATCTGGGCATTGAGAACGGTGTTCTTGGCCGCTTCCTCAGACATATCATCAGATGATGTATCCTCCGTTGTCATGTCCCCGACCTTATTCCTGAAAGAACCGGCAATGGCTAAGTCCTGGGCCACATCTTTCTGGAAGCTGAGGAAAGCTGCGGCTCGTGCCTTCAGCAGCGCCCAGGCCCCGCTACGTGCCCAAGAGGTGGGGCGTTCTCACCCCAGCAGGTCCCCAGCCGAGCTTTGCCAGGAGCCTCCAGAATCAGGCCTGCTCCATCTCTCAACCCCCGGAGACCCTTCTCCTTCTGGCTTTGGGGTCGCTTCACCATCTTCACTGCCAGCATTCACTGAGAACTTGGCCATATGCCAGACCCAGTGCCAGCTGCTTTATGTAGGTTTAATCCTCTCAAAACAAAATCCCGTGGGAGAGGACGACTGGGCCGCATGGCCTTACCTCTCTGTGCCCCAATGTTCTCATCTGTAAAACCGGAATAGTGACAGGTCCTACCTTGCCTTGGATTGTTTTGAGGACAGAGTGAGATAAGGCATGTATACAACAGGCTCTATATGCAAATGCTCAGTGCAGCTTAGCTATGGTTACAACTCTGTTCTCCTTCCACCTTGCAAATGACGAAACGGAATCTCAGAGGTGTGAGGTAACTTCTCCGCGCACACAGTAGGAGGTTGCAGCCCCCTGAGCCTGTGCCCATAACCACTGTCCTCTCTCCCTGTGTGGCGCCGAACTTCCTCTCTCTACGGTGGGGCAAATTTCTATTCATTTCAAAGCCCTACGCAGATGTCACTGCCATTTTCCCCGATTCCCCAAATGAATGTTCTTCCCTCGTTAGGGTCCCAGAGATCCTGTACCCCTCACAGTCAGAGTCCGCCAGCGGCAGCTGTTTGCAGTGTCTGACTCCCCATAAGCTATGGCTTGCTCAAGGCTGGGGAGCACTGACCTCTGACATTTGATAGTCTAGCCCTGGCATAGCGCCTAGCATGTGTGGTTCCAATGACAGCAGGGAGGGAGGGAAGGAGGAAGATGGCAGAGGAAGGCCAGAGGCAGTGACTCCTGTGGCACAGAGCAGAGGACACTCTAGGGCCTCCGGCAACCTCTGCTCCTCATTGGTGCTCGGGTCCCCTCAGGTCCAGGGAGAGCATATTCACTTTCCCAAATCCCAGAAGGGATGGTTCTGCCAATCATGACAAGTCTTCTCCAGGGGACACTTGGGAGATCAGAGGCCAGAAGTGCCCATGGAAGTGTTGGGTGGAGCCCAGTTAGTTCCCAAATGGGGTCCTGGGCTGCTGAGGCCAAGAGGCCAGAGGGCTTCAACAAGATTGGGTTTTGGATGAGGAACTAGGAGTTCAGACAGGACAGGGATGTACTCAGAGTCAGTTCCACGCCAGTCTCCTGTACCCGGGAGGAGAGGGAGCTTCTGGGAGGAGTTCCCTGGAGGGCATGCCCAAAGTCAATGCCCCCATCCAGACAGGCAGTCAGGGCCAAGGAAAGGAGGCGACATGGCCCAGGCCGGGTCAGGAGGGCCAGCAGGATGGGAGCTGGCAGAGGGTGGGTGGGAGCAGATAGGCGGCAGCAGCCAGGGGAGCAGGGAGACTGCTGCGGACATGGCGGCCTCCAGGTCACAGGCTCTCCGGCAGAGGGGCGGGGATGGACAATGTCCGTGCCACGGGTTCAGAGCCTGGCACAGCCCAGGAGCCTGCCACACCTACCCCATCTGTGAGGAGTGGTCCAAGCTGTCAGAGAGGCACTGATCTTGCGTTTCCGGCAGCAGGAAGGAGACGGAAAAGCCCGCAATGGCTGAGACGCAGCAGAAAAAGATGGGCAGGAGGGAGAGGGTCTGTCTGATGGTTGTCAGGGACAAGATGGCTCCAGCCGCTGAAGCCAGAGACACCAGCCCCAGACCTGTTGCCCTGAAAGTGGAGGTGAGAGCTTCTATGAGGGGTCTGTCAGGTCCAGAGGCTGGGCAGGGCCGGCAGCTGCATGGAACCCCACACCCTCCAGGCTCCACCCTGTCCCGCCCTCGCTGTGTGATTCCAAGTCGGCAGTAATTTCTTCTGGGCCTCCTTCATGGGGGTGAGGAGGGGAGGCAGAACCATGCGGCAGCATGTGGATGTGCTGGGAGAGGGCATGGGCAGTGATGCCAGGCAGGCAGGGACCTCAGGGAAGGATCTGAACCTCCGAGTGGCCCAAACGCCTTCCAGGCAGTGAGTGCAAGGCAGGGGCTGGGGTCAGGCTCCCTGGGGCCAAATCCCAGCTCTGCCGCTTACCCTGTCTGCCCTAGTCTTGCGTCTGAAATACTGTTAGCAATGGCATTTGGGGGTTTTCTGGTGGGGTTAAATGAGATAATTCATGTAAACTGTTTAGCACAGTGCTTGTCACCAGGTGAACGCTCATCCTAGTTGCTGCATTAATCTTGTCATTGTCAGTCCCCGCCCATGACCCCATACCTGAGCACAGTGGGGAGGAGCTCCGCGGTGTGGATGAAGAGCACCGTGGCGGTGGCAGCCAGGCTGACCTCTCCCAGCGTGAGCACCAAGACCTTCACGGATTTCAGCCCTGCTGCCAGACAACGAGGCTGCCTGAGTCTGAGGCTATCCTCCCCTGGGGCGGATGAAGGGGGCCCACCTATCCGCCCTCTGTTGGCATCTGAACAGCCTCCCCACCACCTGCCCAGCTGCTCAGCAGGCTCAGGCATTCCGTCAGAGGAGGGGAGGCTGTCAGAGGCCCAACCAGGCCAAAGGCAGAGCATCTGCAAGGCAGAGTTGGTCAGCAGGGGGGGGGAGGTCTCCCATGCTACACCCAACACCCCTGTCTCTGCTCCTAGGGCTCTGTCTTTGTTGCACCTCCTCACCCAACTGCAGCTTGGGGATCCACTTAGGGCCAGGCCTGTGTCCCATGGGCTGGGACCCCTGCTCAGGCCTGTGCCACTGGGGCTCTGCAAGATGGTCAGAGCAAGGGGGTGTTTCGTTCCTGGAGCCTGAGTGGCTGGGATGGGTCCCAAACATTCCAGGATATTCTTTGGCCAGCTAGACAGGCACAATGAAGGGAAGCTGGGGAAAGCCCATTCTGCAGACCTGGTGAAGCTGGGGCCTTCAGCCCTTGCCAGTCAGCCTCTGCAGGACCCTGCCCCAGCCTCATCCCATCCAGTCCTGGCTTTTCTTATCTCTGGGATGAAATCAGAGATCTGGTTTTATCCACCCAGGAGTCCATTCCTAGTTTCTCTCACACGTCGAGTTTACATGTTTCTGCTTGACTCAGTACAAACCTGCTTTTTAAAAAACCACCAGGCAGCCGGGCGCGGTGGCTCAAGCCTGTAATCCCAGCACTTTGGGAGGCCGAGACGGGTGGATCACAAGGTCAAGAGATCGAGACCATCCTGGTCAACATGGTGAAACCCCGTCTCTACTAAAAATACAAAAAATTAGCTGGGCGTGGTGGCGCGTGCCTGTAATCCCAGCTACTCAGGAGGCTGAGGCAGGAGAATTGCCTGAACCCAGGAGGCGGAGGTTGCGGTGAGCCGAGATCGCGCCATTGCACTCCAGCCTGGGTAACGAGAGCGAAACTCAGTCTCAAAAGAAAAAAAAAAAAAAAAAAAAACCACCAGGCAATAAACATTTAATAATGAATTTGTTTCCACATTTTGTGTTAGCCAATCCATGCTGCCAGCATCTGGGGAATGGGAGGGTCCCAATCCAGACACACAATTCCAGCCCTGGCCCCCAGCTAGCCTCCCCTGGCCTTGCTGCAGCTGCGAAGGGCTCCGCAGGCAGTCACTCTAGGTGGGAGTCCACAGATCTAAGTGGGAGTCCACGGATGGCTCCAGCTCTAGGACTCATGGTGCATCCATTGTTTAGGGCTCTTTGAGATTCTGCAGATAACACCAGCCCTTCCTGCCTCCTTTCCTAGTGCTGAGTCTGCAGGAACAGGCACTGAGCCCCCCTGGAAAGGAGGGGCCTCCATGCAAGAGCTGTTCCTGAGTGCTGAGCCCAACGATATGCTCCATTTTCAGTGGGCAGGTTATTCCTGGTGACGTTACAGGTAACAACAGCCATTTCCCAGTCAAAGGGGCTGCAGATGACAGGTGGGACAGGGGCAGCAGGTGAAGGAGTATTTTTGCCACCATTTATTCACACGTATTCACATTTATTCACATTCGACCTGCTTCTAAGGTGGATTGGAATCTGGTGGAATCTGGCAGCCTACTCTCCTCTGGAAAGCACACCCTTCTCTCTCAGGCCTCTGAGAGAATGTGGGTGCCCTGTCTGGGGGACCCCACCCAGGAGGTATAGTGCTCCAGGGATTAGAGGTACCAGGGCCTCTGCAGGGCGGGTGGGCTATGGGTGCAGGAGACTGACTCCCAGGGTGTCTGGGCGGTACTGGGGAGGGGTTTTGGGAAGCAGGAAGGCTGTGGGCAGCCCACAGGGGAAGGATAAGCTGTACCTTCAGGGAGGAAAAGGAGAACCAAGCACCAGATGACAGCTTGGAGGAGAGCCACAGCCAGGCTCCACTTCCTCCCAATCTTCTGCAGGAGAAAACGGCAGCACAGCCGGGCAGGCACCTCCATGATGCCGGGGAACACATGGCTGAAGTAGAGGCTCACGTCCAGGGCTGTCATTCTCAGGGTCAATGCAAAATAGGTGTAACTGATGGTAAACCTGGGTGAAGCCAGGACGCGTGTGCATGTGCACACACACACACACACACACACAAACACACATACACACATACACACAAAAAAACACACACATACACACACACAAACACACATACACACACAAAAACACACACATACACATGTACACACACACAAACACACACACGTACACACATACACACAAACACACACACACATGTACACACATACACACATACACACACATACACACATACATATACACACACATACACATACACACAAATATACACACACAAACATACACATATACAGGTACACACACATACACACACAAACACACATACACATACACACACACAAAAACACACACACAAAAACACACAAAAACACATACACACATGTACACACACACAAACACACACACACACGTACACACATACACACAAACACACACATACACACATGTACACACATACACACATACACACACGTACACACATACATATACACACACATACACATACACACAAATATACACACACACAAACATACACATATACAGGTACACACATATACACACAAACACATACACATATACATGTACACACACATATAGACACATATGCACATACATACACACATGTACATACATACACACATATACACACAGACACATACACAGACACATACACACACACAAACACACACATACACACACACGCGGAGGCAGGAATAAAGACAGAGGCAGAGCAGCGAGGGTCAGGGTAGGAACGGAGGAGAGAAATAAGCAGAGACTGTGATCTGTGTCCTTGGGCTGCCTCCCCTGCAGCCCGACCCTTCCCCTCCCCTCCCCCGAGTTTCCAGCCTGCGTGCCCGTTCACAGTCCCTGCCAGCGGGCCCTGGATACTCACGACACACAGCCCATCACCAACATCATCTTGCAGAGTTGTCTATTCTTACAGAAGTCCAGGACAGAGGCCTTAGTCACCTTTCTGGGCAGCTGCAGTTACAGAACAAGCAGGACCACTCGGAGGCAGGACAGAGGCCCCAGCTTGGTCCCCGGTCCCACAGCACCCACAGGCCTGCCTGTCCCTGAGAGTGCCAGCTGGATTCTGGCCTTCCACTGGCAGGATTCAATTTTGTTGTCACCATTGTCCTTAAGCAGCGGGTTGGGGGCTCCCTCTGGACCAACGTCCCATCTGAAAGGATGGGGAGGAAAGGGGTCCTTCCACACCCACTGCTCCGGCCCCACCCCCGGCCAGAAGCCCTTTACCTGGTCTAGCAGGTCTGCAGGAATGGTCTTCTTGTTCACACTCGCTGCGTAGCACAGAACCTGTTTGGCCTCCTTCACCTTCCCTTTCATCATCAGCCACCGTGGGGACTCCGGGAGAATCCTGCGTGGCCAACCCCTCTCTTATCTCATCGTTCCATGATGCCCAGAGACCCCTGCTGGCCCTCTCCTGGCCTCCACTGTGGACATCCTGCGCCAGCATGAGGTGATTTGGATGTCAGGGCCTTGAAGGCCACCAATGACCTCCAACTGCCCTCTGCTCCTCCCTAGTGGTCAGCCCTTCCCCTGTGTAAGCCTCACACGGCCCCCACTGCTGCTAGGTGACACCCTGACCGCCCCCACTGCTGCTAGGTGACACCCTGACCGCCCCCACTGCTGCTAGGTGACACCCTGACCACCAGCTGCCTCTGTCTATAGCCTCCTTTCTTTGCCCTCAGTTGTCACGGAGAGTTCTCACCTTTTCTACCTGGGGAGCATCCCTGTCTGCTGAGGCCTCCAACCTCCATGCCCACCGCCTCCAGTAGAGCCTCCGTGCTCATAGCTGGGCTTTCTCCTGTTCCCTCTCTGTCTCCCCAGCAACCGTAGGAGTGTGAGGGGGCAGGACCATGGGTCTGACCCTACACCCAGCACTGAGCCCGGGTGAATGGAGGGCGAGTGAAGGTCTCTACTCTGCCCCATCTCTCCCTGCCACATCCCTGCTGCCTTTGACCTCCGAATAACTCCTGTTTTTTCCCATCTCTCAGTCAGAATTCACAGAGATTTCAAAAGCACTTACGTGTGAGGAATGGTGCTCGGCGCCCTCGTACATAACTCTTGTTTAGTCCCCTTCCAAGCCTGGACCTAGTATGATTATCCCCATTTGACTCCCAGCCTCGAGGGGTAAAGGCTCGCCCAAGGACAGAGACACAGACAGTGTACTTGGGGACTGGTACAGCCTCAGGCCCCTAAGGTGGGGTGACTGTTTTATAAACCATGCTTGCTGATTTCTTATACCAGCACCCTCCCTGACTGGGACTCTGACTGGTTGCCATACACACGCTCAGGACACTAGAGACAGCTTCGCTCCTTATACCTGCCCTGCTCCTCCCCCATCCCACCAGGGTTCGGCAATCCTTCATCATTGTCCACGCTAAGGCTGTGGAACTCTCCTAAAGAAAGCCATTACACTGGGACTTCAAAAAGATGGGGGATTGGCCTCATGCCCACTGAAAAAGCAGGAAGAAAAAAAGGTCACCAACTCTCAAGGACACAGAGAAGGGGAGAGAGGCCACAACGGGAGAGACGAGCAAACGCACTGAAGCCCAGACGTGGATGGCGCTTCTGACAGTCAGCAGTGCTCTGGCCTGAATGCTTGTGTCCCTCAAAATTCCTACTGCACTGTGATATGATGACATCAAGAGGTGGGATCTTTAGGAGGTGATTTGGTCATGAGGGCTCTGCCCTCATGGACTGGATTAGTGACCTCATAAAAGAGGCTTAAGGGAGCTTGTTTGTAGCCTTCCACCCTGTAAGGATACAGCAAGAAGGCACCGTCTGCAAGGGCCCTCATCAGACGCCAGATCTTCTGGCGCCTTGATCTTGGACTTCCCAGCCTCCAGAACTGTGAGCAACAAAATTCTGTTGTTTATAAATTCCCCAGTCTAAGGTATTTTGTTATAGCAACTCAAACGGACTAAGACAGAAATTAGTACCAAGAGTGGAATGCTGATCTAACAAATGTGTAAATGGCTTTGCGGGCAGAAACTGAACGAGTTTGGAGGTGCATACTGGAAAAAGCCTGCATAGCCATGAATGGAATTATAAGGGTGGTTCTAGTGAAGGCTCAGAAGAGGAGCAGTATAAAGAAAACCTCAGTCTTCTTAGAGGTTACCTAAGAGGTCATGAACAGAACGTTGATATAAATATGGACAATAAAGACATTCTGACCAGGTGTCAGATGCAAATGAGGAACATATTAAAAACTGGAAAAATGGCAATCCTTGTTACAAAATGGCCAAGAACTTGGCTAAACTGTATTCATGCCCTAGTGTTTGTGAAAGAAGGAACCTGTAAGTGATGAAAGAGGACACTTGGTGGAAGAAGTTTCTAAGCAAAGTGTTGAGGGTGTGGTATGGCTTCTCTTGACTACTTACAGTAAAATGTGAGAAGAGAGAAGCAAACTAGAATTTATAATCAACAGGGAAGCAGAAATTAAAGATCTGGAAAATGCTCGTGTTGACCACATTGTTCAGTCACTTTCCATGCCTAAAAAAGTGTGTTTGGGAGAGAATGCCAAGGATGTGGCTGAGCTGCGGTTTGATAAGGAGGCCAGTACAGATCAGTGGAAGCCACTAAAAGAATGACCCAAAGATACGTTACAGATCATTGGTTCTGCCCCTCCCATCACAGGCCCACAGTGACAGGGCCTAGGAGACACACTATGTCAAAAGAGGGGCCTTGAGACCCCGGGTACCTTGGTGTTCCCTCCTAAGGGCCTGCCAGTAGAGGCTGGAAATCCAGTTCCTGGAAGTGACAGGGTCCCAAATCTCTGCTCCTCACTCCCCACACACCTCTCATCTACTCAAGCTAGGAGAAGGGGAGTTCAAGAGAACTCCTCAGAGAGATGAGGGGACTGCCTTTGACAGAGCACATCTGCCGTCCCACTCTGGCTGGAACTTGCTAATTCAGAAACATGGGGGCTTGCCCTGGTACTTCAGACAGTAAGAGAGATTATAGAAGAGTTAATATGTGTCACCTGGAGTATGAGGGCATACACAAACCCAGAGAATGATGCCCGTCTCTCATCTGGGTATAATGAGGGCAGGAGGCTGGTGGGAGCTGGGTATAATGAGAGGGTGAAGGCTAGGGAACAGTGAGGTGTTTTGGCCAAGTGGACCCTGCTGTCTTAAAGGCACCCCATGTGCTAGGATGAGAAGACCCCTTACAGAAAGGCTGTGGGGAGAGCTGCCAGCGACAGGAGCTGAGGGAAGCGACAGACAGAGTGCTGGGAGTGTTAGGAAACTCCAGTGCTCAGAAGACCCACAAATGGACCCGAGAGTGATGGCATTTGAGTGTCTGCCCTACAGAGGACCCTGAGAGACTCTAACAGCCCCTGCCATGTCAGTCTTTGGTCTATTTGTCTGACGTCCCCAACCCATGCCTAGAACCTGGAAAATCAGAACAAGCAGACAGGAGGAAAAACAGTAGATCAGAACAGACCTCATCCCCTTTGGCCACTATCCTGAGCGAGGGGCCAGGAACAAGCTGCGGATCTGATGTAAGATTCAAATTTTTCATTGAACTGGACTGAATTTTTTTTTTTTTTTTTGAGACAGGGTCTTGCTCTTTTGCCCAGACTGAAGTACAGTAATACACTCATAACTCACTGCAGCCTTGACCTCCTGGGCTCAAGTGATCCTCCCCCTCAGCCTCCCAAGTAGCTGGGACTACTAGCATGTGCTGCCATGCCTGGTTACTTTTAAAATTTTGTGTAGTCGAGCATGGTGGCTCATGCTCATAATCCCAACACTTGGGGAGGCCAAGGCAGGCGGATCACGAGGTCAGGAGACCGAGACCATCCTGGCTAACACAGCGAAACCCTGTCTCTACTAAAAATAATTTAAAAAATTAGCCGGGCATGGTGGCTCACACCTGTAGTCCCGGCTTCACACAGGTTGAGGCAGGAGAATCTCTTGATCCTGGGAGGCAGAGGTTGCAGTGAGCTGAGATCGCACCACTGCAACCCAGCCTGAGCGACAGAGTGAAACTCTGTCTCAAAAAAAAAAAAATTGGGTAGAGGTGGGGTCTTGCTATGTTGCCCAGGCTGGTCTCAAACGCTTAGCCTCAAATACTCCTCCCACCTTAGCCTCCCAAAGTGTTAGGATTACAGGCATGAGGCACTGTGCCCAGCTCCCATGCTGTTAACCCCATCTGTTATCATCCTTACTATATATGGTGCCGTTAGAATGCAGGGGCTTTGGAGACAGCCCCTGAGTTTAAATCCCAGGTCCCCAACTTTTTAGCTGTGTGAAGTTGGACAAGTTATTTCCACCCTCTGAAGCCTCAGTTCTCCCTCCTCCCCACCTCCCATGACATGGGAGTAGCATACTTCTTCTAGAAGGGTCAGGATTAAATGTAATAATGTCAAGATTAACTATGATAATTACTTCATATGGAACTGCCTAACCCTTCACACACGAGTTCTTTCGGCTTCTTCTCACCTCCCTCTCCACCTTCTCTTCTGCCCCTCTCCTTCCCCTCCTGCCCACGGTTAGCTGTGCCGTCTCACTTTTGTTCTCAAGCCTTACTCCTCCAAGGTTCGCCCTGTCAGTTGTCCTTTCACAGCTTTAATCTCTCAGGTTCCTGTCTGTGACTCCCCTACACACAAAACGTCGGATGCCCTTCCCGGACTCTGAGTTGTAGAAATCATCCCTTTCTCCCTCCTTCTATGACAGTCCTCTCCTGGCTCCTTTCTTCTGTTCCTAGTCTCTCCTCAACCCTCTGCCACTGTAGTGAAGCCACCTCCAGACGGTCACTAAGGCTGGCAGACCCTTCCCCAGACACACCCCTCTTGCCTTCAACTCTCCTTACACCCTTGGCCTTCAACACTCCTCCTCCTGGTTTTCTGACCACCTGTCTGACATCTCTTGGAGGGTCTTCCCTAGGGTGCGGGAGGAGGTTAAAGCTGAGGTTCAGAGGCTCTGCCCTTGGTGCCTTCCTATCTCATCCCATCCACATCACTTTCTCCCAGGAGAAATCCCACCCATTCCCACAGCTTCAAGGACCTCCACACTCATTGACACCCAGCCCACCAGACCCAGCCCTGTGCATGCCCTGTACTCGCTTGCTCACCAGATATAGGAGATGAGGGGGAACGCAGGTACCCCACCCACCAGAAACAGCAGCCGCCAGTGGGGAAGACTGTAGGCGATCCCCGTCAGCAACACGGTCCCCACAGCGAAGAAGCAGTGCTCCAGGATGATGGCGTGGGCCCGGTGCTCGTCCATGAGCCACTCAGTGGCTGTGCAGAGAGGCCGAGAGGACAAAACCATGGTCACTTCCGGGTCCCCACAGCTGCCCCTGCATCCAGCCTCGCTGGGTGTCCCCACCTGCTCTGGACAGTTGAGATCAGGCAATGCTGCTTCTGCCTGTCTCTGCACTGGGTCCAGAGACAGCACCTCAGAACCCGGAAGAGTGCCTCTGTTCTGCCTCGGCACACCCTTGCCGGAGCTCCCAATCATACACAGCTTCCACCCCTCTCCACCTGGCTGCTCCCTCTGCACACCCCTGTCTGACCATGTGCCTCTCATAGAAAAGACACAATCGCCAACATGAGGGCTGACGCACGGCCAGCCCAGGCATCACTGTCCTCGTCTTCGCTCTGAGTGTATCTGTGCTTTGGCTACCTAAGCCTAGGGCTCCCAATGAGAAGAGGGTCTCCTGCCAGGAAACCCTCAGCTATAAGGCTGCCCTGGGTGCTTTAGCATCTCATAGGCCTGGGTTGAAATCCCAGCTTCTTCACTTAGTTGCTGTGTGACTCTGTGCAAGTGGCTAACTTCTCCGAGGCTCAAGTGTCCTCCTCAGCTGAAGGAGTAATAGAATGGTGCCTGCTGAAGAGAGTGTGCCAGGAGGAAATGACACAATGCAAATAAAGGGCTTAGCAACTACCTCCTCCTCCCTTTTTCTTCTTCCTCTCCTTTTCTTCTTCTTCCTCTTCTTTCTCTCTCTCTCTTTCTCTCTCTCTTTCTTTCCCTGGCCCTTCTTAAGGGCTCAATAAATGTAACCCATGGGGCTTGGAGGTATGCAAGGAGTATGCGGTGGAAGGTGTGGGGTATGAGGGAGTTAGGAAGGAGGATGAGGATGGAAGGGCAGTCAGGGCACTGATTCTCTGGCATCTCCAGGCAGCCAGGAGAGGAGATCCCTTATACTTCTGCCTGTCCAACTAGGCCTGGGGTCCTGTGGGCTCCCAGTAAGTGCCCGTACCACCATGCTCCGGCCATGCCCACTTGCAGCCCCGCCCCAACCCCTTGCCCCCCGCCTATGCCACCACGCCCCCTTGCCGCCACACCCCTTGCCACCCGCCTATACTGCCACGCCCTCACCAAGCCCTCTTCCAGCCCCGCCCCACTCCCCTGCCTCCCGCCTATGCCGCCACACCCCTTGCCACCATGCCCCCTTGCCACCACGCCCCCTTGCCACCACACTCCTTGACGCCATACCCCCTTGCCGCCACGCCCTGCCCATTGAGGTCCAGTCTCACCCAAAGAAATGCTGCTGATGGAGTAGCCCACCACTGATTGCGAGACGGCAAAGCGAAAGAACAAATACAGGTGAAAGCTGTTCACGAAGGCCGTCCCGAAGCCGAAGATGATCAGCCCCAGCAGCGACAGCAGGATGGCAGGATAACGGCCCATCCTACAGGCGTCAAAGGGAAGCTGCACCAGGACCTCGCTGGCTGGCCCCAGCCGGATACACCTGGGCCAGGCCCTGAGCCATCCATGGGCCCCTGGAGAACCCCTGCCTTCACCTCCCTCAGCCTGACACTCTTCAACCCTGAATGCCCATGAGGAGGAGGTGGGGCGGCTCGGGAACCAGCAGAAACTCCCGGGGACTCACTTGTCAGTTATGAGCCCGAAAACGAGGGAGCCTATCAGGAGCCCTGCTATGAACACGATCTGCGGGGTGTCCTTCTTCCGCTCCATGCCACATACCAAGTCAAACTGTGGGTCAGACACAGGAATCGTCCATGGGCACCCACCTTTGGGTCCAGAGACTGAGCCTCACCCCAGGGTGGGGCCTATAGGCCAAGGGGACCTGGGAAGGGGCAGGTAACGGGGTGCAGCATGCCTCCGCTTTTGCCTTGCTCTATTACCTTTGCAACCCATCCCACACGGGCTCCACCCTGAGAGCTGGGCCTGGAGAGAGCGACCAGAGGCACAGATCAAGAGGTGTGGGGATGTAGTGGGAAACCGAGCAAAGGCAGGAATCAGTGCAGACCCTTTCCCAAAGGCAGGTGCTAGGCCCCACCTGCAGACTCACACTAGGCTGGTCTGTGTCATGAAGGGCCTAGACTGCAGCTCAGGTTGAGAATCCCTGTAAGAGATGCCTGATCAAAGCTGCTTCTTTCCCTGAGCCCTACCTTTTGTTAGTTCTAAGGGCAAAGCCACAGCTACCGGAGCAATTTCATGGACAGATGGCAAACCCTGCCATGCCACACCCATCTCTACCCCAAATGTACTCTACAGACAGGCAGGGCCAGGGCTGGGCAGCAGGAACCCTCATTTTCTGCCCAAGCCCTGCTTCTGCAGGGTGACCTCAGGCCAATGGCTTCCCATCTCTGAGCCTCAGTTTCCCCACCTGTTCGGTGAGGGTAGGAGGCACAACTCTGAGCCTGTGGGGTAGTTATAGACAACCCAGGACAAGGCATACCTCATTGATAAGCGATCGCTTCTTAGCGTCAGGATAGATCCATCCATTTCGGCATGTGTCTGTGTCATTGAGGCCAAAGTGGATGATAGAATCCAGATTCCGGGGCACAGGAAGGTACATGAGGCAGGTCAGGAAACTGCCATTGGGTGCCCGGGGTATGGTCAGATTCATCTGCTCAGCTTCAGACAGGTTGGGGCCCACTGCCAGGATCCAGCTGGTGTTGCAATAGGGCTTCTGGGCTGTGAACACGAAGTGGTCAGCAAACATGAAGAAGGCTGACAGGATGCTGGGGATAAAGGTGAGGGCCACCAGCCTCCGTTGGAAGGTGCCAAACTCCCCCACCGCAACCAGGAGGTTGGCAAACTTGTCATCCTGCTTGGTGGTGACGACCTTCAATCTGCGTAACAGCATCTTCAGAGACTGGGAATATGGATACCCTGCTGCCTCATGCCTGTTCAAGTTCCTGGGAGCATCCTGGGATCTGAGCTCTTCCTTGAAGTTTTCTTCTCTTGCCATCTGTCCAGAGAAAGGGTGCAGCTCTGTCTCTGCTGACACCATTTCCTAAACATCAAGACTAGCATGGGAGCCACTGACCAGGAACTGGCCTCTGGCTTGAAGCAATATGGAGCCCAATCTTGATCTTCTCAGTAGTTCCCTCCCTTGCTTTCTTAGTTAATATGATTTATTCCCCACTGGCCCAACCATCCAGGTTTTTTAGTGTAATTAAGATTTTTAATGTTTTAGAAAATGCTGTGCTGCTGTTGTCATGAAGGACTAAGCTCTGAGGAACTCTCCTGCAACTTCTCCGCAAATGAAACTTTTTGTTTACACACACACTGAGGCACCAATGGGTTTACAAGGGGTAGGAGAGGTCCCTAGGGATCTTTTCTTCAAAAATAAAGATCCGCATCAGCATCAGCTGGCCCAAGGTGCAAGGCTGGAAGCCTGGGCCACCGAGGAGGGGCAGCAAGTCTGGTGCAGTGGTGCGGTGGTAGAGCACGGAGCCAAACTGGAAAGGCAGGTGCGGGGAAGGAGGAAGGGGAGCGATACTGACTGTAAGCGTATTACCTTGCTGCAGCAGCAAGGAGGGGAAATGAAGCTCTGTTGTGAGCCAAACCCTTAGCAGGCCTAACAGTTCCTGGTGTGGGGTACCCCTTGGCTCAGAGCAGAGGCAGAAGCGAGTCTTCTGTGAAGGAAAACTTCTTCGAGTTGATTCTGCAAGACTCTCACAGATGAACATCAAGCAAAGACATTACACCTTGAGAAGGCAAGCCGCTCTAAGAGTCAACAGAATCCAAAACCATAGACTTTCAGACTACAGATGTTGAAAGCATCAGATACAAAATTTAGAGTAGCTATTGTGTCAACTTTTTAAGGAAATGAAAGTTGTAATTACGAAAATGAACTACAACAACAATCAGGAAAAAGCAGACACCTTTGGAAGGAAGATTAGGAACTTTTAAAAATGAAAGCTTGTTGAATGGCAAGTTGTTGTCCTTGTTGTTGAGATGAAAATCCTAAGAGAAAGTTAAATTTGACACAAAGTATCAGTGAACTGGAATAAACTGC